TAATTGGCTGAGAGTCAAGAACTTCATCTTGAGGCCTACTAGTATATTTAGTGCTTCTGTTCTATTCCCTAGTTAGCGGCATAGTGCCTGAGGTCTTAACAGTGTGGCTACTTGCCTCTTTTGTCATGAGACTAGAACTGGATGGTGCCCATATGTTTCAGATCAAAGATTTATAGAAGAAGCCTGATCAAAAGGTGAAAAATATAGAGCAGAATTTCAAATTCTCATGAAATCCAGACTTTCTGGAGCCATAAAGGCTAAATAAACCCCTGAAACTATTGTCCTTATTGTTGTTATTGTTAAGTGCCTTCAAGTCAGTTCTGACTCACAGCAGCTCTGTATAGGGTTTCTGAGGATTGACTGGTGAGTTCGAACAGCTGACCATGCAGTCTAGTGATTATCCTACAGCACCACACCAGGACTCCTACTGTCCTTGCTGTTGTTGTTATGTGCCTTGGAGTCAGTTCCGACTCATAGTGACCCTGTACAGGGTTTCCGAGGCTGTAAATCTTGACAGGAGCAGAAAGCCTCATCTTTCTCCAGTGGAACAGCTGGTAGTTTCAAACTGCTGACCTTAAGGTTTACAGCCCAATTCGTAACCACTACGCTACCAGAGCTCCTTCCTACTGTCCTTAGATAATCTTAAAAGCCAACAATGTAGCATAACTAATAACTAGCAAAGACTTGAGCACCTACTGTGCTCTTTCACAGTTGCATTTCTATGGGATCAAACTGATAACAGCAACTCTAAGGAAACTTAGGAGGCAGTGAGTTTACGTTAATGGAGAACAACTGAGGGTGAGAATGGCTGAGCACAACTTTATGAATGTAATCAGTGTCACTGAATAGAACTTTGTCTTAGGCTTCACTGGCACATTCCACCATCACCTTGCCTGGTGATCAGGGTTAGAGACTATGTTCCACATTCAGCCCCTTTTAAGGAGACTGAGGCTGCGTAGATCACACCTAGAGTTTGTGGGGAACCAGATCCACCCAGACCAGCACTCCCAACTCCCCATCCTTCTCTCTGTTGCTGCTGCTGCTGGCAAAGCCATATCAGGGATCAACCTGAGAGTAAATGACTATTGCCTGTTGGCTGGTGCCAGGCTGCCCAGTGTTGGGGATGAATACTGCAAGAAAGAGGCAGACCCAGCCCCGTTCTTACACAACTCACAGAGCACAGGATTGGGCAGAGGGTCACAAGTGAGACAGAGTCAGGGCTGGAGGCAGACACCAGGTCACCATCGTATGGATGGTATTTGGGGTCCCAGGACTGGACGTGCCTACCTGGAGAGAGAGGGAAGAAGAGAATAAGCCATCATCTGATTCTGCACTCATTGCTTCCCCTAGCCTGGCCCGTCCCCAGGGAAGGGGTGCCCTCAGTCTGGGCACGTATACTTATCCTGGGCTGAGCTAGGCTCACCACTTCTGCATGCTCCTTCTGTCCTATTTTGTAGGCCACCTGGGGCCTTCTTCATCAAAGGTTTCCTTAGAGAGATGACAGGGTTTTTGAGGCATCCCTGAAGTCTGCAGGATGCCAGCACTAGAGTCATGACCTCTTTCTGGCTGACAGGACAAATGGCTACCCCTCCTCCCCAGGCCTTAGTTTCATCATTTATGTAATGAGGCCAGTGGGATGAAACTCTGGGTCCCTGCCAGCTCTTAAAATCTAAAATTAGTTTCCCCAAACTCTCTCACAGGCTGTCCCCTCTCACCATGCCCTCCGCTGCCCAGGCTGAGAAGCCCACCCAGCTTCTCCTCTCTGGGCTGCCAGGGGCCCTTCCTGCCAGGTCTGAGCCACACTATTTAGCCTACATGAGTCTCCCTCTCCTTGGATTTCTTGCCTTCCTCCAATTATGGCCAGGCCTCTGGAGCCTGCTTTCCTGCCTGCACTCACCCAGGTGAGTGGAAGCTGGGAGCCAGGCCCATCTATAGGGACCTCCTGCTGCTCAGATTTATTCAGAGAAATCTGGGCTGCATTTTGACTGAAATCCCCTGATTTTTCATTCCAGGAAGTAATTTATGTTTTTGTAAACTGCTTCTCTAAGTACGAGGGCCACAGATTGATGAGCTGGGCCTTCACGGCTGGATGCTGGTTTGTAAATGTGCTGTGCTGTGGTGAACCAGCCCTTTCTTAAAACTCTCCCATCCTGAACTTCTTTGGCATGCACACTGTTTTTCTCCTTCCTTTCAGACTGTCATTCCTCTATCTCCAACAGAACAACCTCCTTATCTACCATTCTAGGGTCCTTTCTTTGTGCTATACAGTTGGCCTGGGTTCCTGCTAAACTCAGCTCAAGTCTCATTTCTGGTGACTTTTTGGGTCTTTCACCATGTGCAGCTGGACAAATTTCAGTCTCACTGCTGGGTTTCCATCAGTAACACAATGGCCCACTATCCCCCCTTTGATCTTTCAGGAGAACGGCGTAGCAACCCCTCTCAGCCAGTCACTAAGCTGTCTTCCTCCAGCATTCATGAGGCCATCTAGTTAGTTTCCTTGGGCCAGCTCTCTCTGTGGTCTTCCTGTCCCTATCCTGTCCCTGATGTGACCACCATACAATCTCCCCATAACACAGTTGGGAGACCAAATGTCCTGTGCCCTTCTGCCTTAACATGAAACTCAAACTCCCCCGGCATCGCCTGCAGCAGGCCCAGCTCAGGAAGGCAGGATGAGCAGCACAACATGCCTCAGCAGAGCATGCCCAGAAAGCTCTAGGCAGCACATGCCTCCTCCCGGTACTATAGTTCTAACCTTCTCCTGTGAGTGTTCCACCATCCAACTTCCCCACCTTGGGCCCCACTCAACTCCCACCATGTGAGGTCTGTAGGCTTGCCTCTAGATGCTGAAAAAGAAACACAACTCTCCTGACACCTTGATTTTAGCTCTGTAAGAGTTACATCAGTCTTTAGACCTCAGATCTGTAAGTCAATAAATTTGTGGTGTTTTCTGAAAAAATTTCCTTAGGAAATTGCACCTCAGTGGGCCCTAGAGATCCACAGACCACACCTGGCCACTGTTCTCTCATTACACCCTTGCCTCTGTTCTCCCAAGCAGCCCATCCCAGAAAAACCTAGCTACTCTGAGGCAGGAGGCCATTCCGCAAGTGGGTGTGATCTGTAAGGCCCTTGGCTCCCCAGCACAGCCCCCAAGGCTCAGCTGGTGGCATTGTCTCTTCTCTGTCATTGCCTTGTCTGAAGTTCTTCCTGGGTGAGGGGCAGAGTCTCCTTTATAGGCTTGCAAAGCTCAGGGCTCCAATCTGCCTCCCCATTCTCACCTTTCTCAACCTCAGTTTCCTCATCTCTGGGGGCTTATTCTCTAGTTTGTTCAGCACACAAAAAAGGAGTCTGTGAAAGGGGTAAATGCTTTAAAAAGTAGCCTGGTGTGGTCCAAGTTCAGAACTGGGCCTTAACAACCACCCCTTCTTCAGGATGTCACTACCTCCAGCTCTCCCTCTTAGCAAAAAACCTTTCCCTCAACCTTGGAACCCTAGCTCCCTGAAGTTCCCTCAGCCCTGCCAAACTCATGAGTGCCAGGGCCTAAAATCACATACCCCAAAGGGCCTTTCTCTCCTGTCCAAGCATCTCATGGTAATCTCAGCACCGCTAATAAAGGTTCTTTGGCTGAGATAAAGACTGGACTCCAGAACTCAGGGCGTCCAGGCCTGCACAGGTCTCCCAGAAGGACTTCAACAGCTCTAGCCCACCAGGTTCAATCTGTGGGGCGTTGCAGTCTGGAGACCCCTGCAGGCCCCACTCTCCTCTACCCTGTCCCTTGAATAATTTTCCTCCCCAGACGAGACGGTGCAGTGGGAACCCAACTCTGAGAAATTGTCCTCCCCGATCCTCCCATGGAGGTTCCTCCCGGGGTTGCAGCCCTGTACATACACTGGCCCACCTGAAGCCCCTATTTGACTTTAGGGTGTATGGTGACAGCTACTTGCACATTACAAAACATGGTGGGTGAGTATCAGCAGTGGGCAGGAGGGAGGCTAGGAAATGTCCCGGGATGGACTGCAGCTATCCTCCACCTCCAATGATGTGCCCAGGCCTCCTGAGTCAAAACCAAGACTCCAGCGTGAGGCGGGCGCCTCCCATCTGTTAGCCTCTTTGGATCAACGGAGAGCCCCCCTCAGAGATGTCCTTGTGCACTTCACATGCCCCAGCCGACCACATGAGGGCGTGCCCTGTGTTAGTTGGAACAAATTAAAGGTCATCCTGCGAGCAAGCTTGGGGTCCCCTGGGTCCGGCCAGGGCTCGGGTATCTGTGTCATACTCTTGGCTGTGCGTAGCTAAGCTCTGGGCAGTGGGGCTTCCTCCTGGGCCCACTCTATTCATTCCCAAACGGGGTGCCCCCCTCCTCTTGCGCTCCCGCAGCCTAGGGTGCTCCTCTCCATTCCCGTTTGCGAAGCCCTTCCTGGGCGCAGACTGCTTTTCCGCTGTGCCGTGGCCTCGGACACGGTCCCCGACGCACGACTGCCGGAGTGGCGGCGCTGGGGAGGTGCAGTCCAGAAAGCCAGCGGCCGGAGAAGAGGTTCCAAAAAGCACAAGTTGGCGCTAGCTCCTGACCAGGCTGTTGTTGTTCTCAACGTGGTCCGCAGTGGAGCCATAAAAGCGGGGAGGGGCGCCATCCTCATGAAGAGCGAAGCACGCACGCCCAGTGAGTCTCAGTGGTGGCGGTGGCGGCAGCGGCGGCAGCAGCAGAGGCAGCGGCGGCAGCAGCGGCAGCAATAGCAGTAGCGCTCAGTCGGTCTGGTCCTCACGCTCTGACTCCGGCCCAGGCCCGGCCTTCCGAGCCGGCCCTCGGCTCCTGCCCCCAGCTTCGTTCCGGCCTGGTCCCCGCCTCAGCCCTGCCGCCAGGCCCCAGGCCCGGCCGCGGCCGCTCCCGCCTGGAGCCGCCGCGCGCCCCCAGTCCTCCGGCGCCCCCCAGGCCTCTCGCCTTTCTCTTCCCGGCGCGGCCCCCAGGCTTTCGCGCGCCGCCCGCCACCAATCCGCTCGCCACCATGTCTGTGGAACTTGAGGAGGCCCTGCCGCTGACGCCCACCGTGGGGGCGGTCAAGAAGGCCGCCAAAGCTGGCGGATCGGCGGCGCTGCCCTCGTCCAAGAAAAGAAAGAACAGCAAGAAGAAGAACCAACCGGGCAAGTACAGCCAGCTGGTGGTGGAGACCATCCGCAGGCTGGGCGAGCGGAACGGTTCGTCGTTGGCCAAGATCTACACCGAGGCCAAGAAGGTGGCGTGGTTCGACCAGCAGAACGGGCGCACCTACCTGAAGTACTCCATCAAGGCGCTGGTGCAGAACGACACGCTTCTGCAGGTCAAGGGCACCGGCGCCAACGGCTCCTTTAAGCTCAACCGCAAGAAGCTAGAGGGCGGCGGGGAGCGGCGTGGAGGCCCCGTGGCCGCCCCCGCGCCCACCGCGCACAAGACCAAGAAAGCGGCCCCGGGCGCTGCCGGCCCCCGGCGCGCCGACAAGAAGCCCGTGAAGAGCAAGAAGCCCGAGAAGCGTTCGCACAAGAAGGACCCGGGTGGCAGTGCTGCCGCCCCCTCCAAGAAGGACAAAGGCAGCAAGGCCAAGAAGGCGGTGTCCTCTGGGGGCAAGAAGGTGAAGAAAGCAGCGAAGCCCAGCGTCCCCAAAGTGCCCAAGGGGCGCAAGTGAGCGCTTCGACCCGACCCGATGGGAGGCGCCCTCTGGGGCCTGCTGGGTCTTATCTGGTTTTTTTTTTTTTTTATCCCAAGTGTCTGTAAGTTTTATACAATTTACCCTGGGTGTGAGCCGTAGGGAGGGGACCCCGAGCCCTTCTCTACCCTTTTTCGGTCCTTTCCCCTCCCCAACAATGTAGTTTTTTTGTTGTTAGCTTTAGATTTTTGAAACAGTCCCGGCGACGCCCCTATTGGCTCTTGCCTTTGGCAACGACCGTCGCCATGGTTACTGGCCTTTAGGCGCTAACGGCTGAAGCTGCGCCTGTCGGTCCCCAAGTGGCCTCAGGTTGTGGGGGGGCCGGAACTCGCGGATGTGGTCGCTGTGCCGCTCCTCCCCAGCCCCAACCCCCCTGCTTTTGGGTGCGCGACAAACAATCGTTCGTGGCACGGGATTGCGCGGCTCCTCACTTCACCCCACTGGTCTTTTTTTGGCACAATAAATTGTTTTAAACCTTTGAACAGCTCTCATTTTCTTCCTAGAGAAATAGGGATGGTGCGTGGTTTAGGTTGAATTCTGGGCCCTGGGATCCTTGAAAAGGCAGAGCGGTAAACTGGCAATCTGGTTCTTGATGGGGCCTGGGGAAGCAGGGGCAAGTGGAAGCTACGGGGGAGGCAGCAGCAGCCTGGTTGCTCCAGGGATGGAGTCCAGCCTATAAGATAGTGGAATGATTGTTCATCCAGTTGTACAGTAGGCTAAAGCCTATTCTAACAGATGTTCCTAGAAAGGAAACCCTGGTGGCAATGGGAGACATGTTCCACTGGGTGAGCTCTGAAGGGGAGTTCTTACTGCCTCTGTGGTGCTCATTGTAAAAGCAGTTGAGAGAGGAGACAGACCTAGGAAATCAACGTCTTTTCAGTGAGCCTAGGTTGGGGAAGGGAAGCTTGAAGGAAAGTTGCCACTGACCTGCTGGTACCCCATGGCCTAAGTCAGGCCTGCCCTGCCAGACCCTTCCAATGCTTACCACCCTGCAGGGCTATCTCAGGCCCTTTTTCTGGAAGCTTCCTTCACCCACAGTGGCTGCTCCACTTTTCTGGTCCTTTCATACCCCACTAGGAGCTGCAGGACCACATGTGTATGTGAGCCTTCTGCCTGCCTGCCCTGTCCTTTGATAGACGCTAAGAACACAGCAGCTAAAACCAGTGTCTGCCTACTCTTTCCAAGTTTTGGAGCCACTGGGGAGAAAAGCCATCAGTCAAACTCCTCAGAACCACAGTACTTTCTAAGTAGAAGTTCAGAGAGTAAAGGGATCTCCCTGTGTGTGTGGCCTTGCCCCACATGGTTCTCCAGTGACTAATGTGGGCAAAGCTAGAAATGTGGTGCTAGACTTGCCTGAGGGTGTGTTTGTCTGCGGATCCTGATTGGAGACTACAGCACTTGTGGGCAGGAGCTAACAACTCCACCCTCTCTGCCAGTCACCCCTTTACCTCCTGCTGACCAGTAACAGCCTCAGCTACTTGCAGTTCTGGTTGGAGGCAGTCAACCTGCTGCTGGTCCACTGTGCCAGCCCAGGTCTGTCAACATTGTTGCAGGGCCAGCAGCCAATAGGTATGGGAGGCTTTGGCCTACTAGGATTTTTTTTTTTTTGAGGGGGGAGAGGTGCTACTGATCAATTAAATGGGATACTTGAGGTTCCAGTGGCCCACCATCCATTTCTCAAGCAAGAGGCCTTGTTCTAAGCCCAGAAGCAACCTGGGCTCCACCTAGTTGTCTAAATCAGAATGTCTGGAACTGGACCGAGGTATCTGTTTTCTGACCAGCTCCCCAGGAGGTTCTGCAGTTCTGAGATTTGGGAAGAGCTGCTACAAGGGAATCCATGGGACCAAGGCCTCTGAGCATCTGCCTTTGATGGACACTCCTGACTTAACTGCTCAGCAGAGGATCTCTTTACCTGTGAGCTTCAGCCCCATTTCTGAGCCATGGCTGAACTGTTTAACTAAACTCCCCATCCTACTGACTGCCTGCTCTCTGAGGTCATCCCATGAACTCCAGAGCCCTAAATTGCCCTTTAGGTTAACAAGGGCATCATTGTTTCTCCTCACTGCCTTTCCATATTTTCTACCAAAGTCTGCCCTTTGATGCTCACACCATCTGGTGCTACCAGCTACTTCCCTCTCTGGTGCTGGTGGCCCTTACATCTCCCCGTGCCTCTCTGCTGATGTACCTCTATCCTCAGGAATGATCTCATGACAGGATGCTTAATCAGTTAGTTGTTCAAGAAGTCAGTCTTGGGAACTTTTCCTAAACCTATGGAGAAAGATGGGTTGTCTTTCCCATGGGATCACAAAAGTGTGGGGACATGGGGCCAGAGTTGCCAGTGGCCTTCTTTGTCAACACATAGAGCCTACCTGAAAAAGGAACCAAGAGGTGGAGGGACAGGAGCCTGCCATCAGGGGAGTACCCAGACCCAGCCATGCCTGAGACCAGTTATAGACCTGATATTCATGCTAGTCTCTCCTTTGACTTGACCTACACTCCCATGTGTACACCTTGGACCTTACCACCACGCTCTGAAATTTCTCTTCCTGCAAAACCACCCTTCCAGTGTCCCATTCTTTAACCACAGGTCACACCTCTCTCTGCCTTCTTCACTCAGATTCTTCAGCTGAGCTGCTCTCTGACTTCCTGAGAGACCTCCATTGTGGACAGGGTCCTAGCTCTGAGGACCCTAGTTGAAGAGCCACATGTGAGCATCCTCTAAGGAGGGCCACACAGCCCTTATTTCAAGTCTCAACAACCCTAATGAAGAGGCTGCTAAGACTCTGGGAAATCATAACAGCCAGCAAATGCCAGGCTGGGATTTACTCAGCTTCAATATTAGGCAAAGGGGAGAGGGATCCTGAGCCTGCCATTTGCTCATTGTACCCCCTTGACTTGGCTTCAAGGAGCCTCAATGTCTGTTGAACATTGGAAGCACCTGGTAAGCAGTGAGCTTCCAGGAGAAAGTGATCCTGGTACAAAGGGGGCAAAGGACCAGGTGCAAACCTTTTGGTTTACTTGTCTGTAATATATGGGTTTAAGGAGCTCTGGTAGGGTAGTGACAATAAGTAGTGGCTACAAGTTGGGCTGCTAACCTCAAGGTCAGCAGTTCAAAACTACCAGCTATTACATGGGAGAAAGATGAGGCTTTCTGCTCCTGTAAAGATTTACAGCCTCAGAACCCCTATGCAGGGTTGCTATGAGTAAGAACCGACTCCACGGCACACCACCACCACCAACATAGGGGTGTAGCAACAACTCAGGCCTCATTCTCTCTCTGCACTCATTAATCAAGACAGAGGAGGTCAGTGGGGAAGCTGAGGGGGTCCCTAAAAGCTGAGGTCAGTGTTCTGGGCTGTGGTCTTTTGGTGTGGATCAACACTGTTCTTCCCTAAACTATTGTTATTAACTGCCATTGAGTCAGTTCTAACTCATAGCCACCCTGTAGAGCATTTCCAAGGAAGGACTGGTGGGTTTGGACCGCCAACCTTGTGGTTAGCAGTCAAATGCTTATCCAACAGTGCCGCACTAGGAAGCATCTATAAATGGAGCTGTAATCTAGCAACAGGAATTGTCTAAATTCCCAAAGGATAAAAATCAGAATTAGCACAAAGCTGGTTCTTACAAGGTAAAGGTCAGACTCCACTCTCCAACTTTATCATTTCTAACACCAGCCATCCCTTACCTTCCCCCAGCATTCTGTACTTCTCTGCCAGGTTCAATAATTCATTGCATTGGCTACAGAACAGAACTCATGAACTGTACTTACAGTTCAATGGTTTATTGGGATACAACTAGGGAGTCAAATCAGAAGTAGGATCAACTTAGAAGTAACAGGATATAACTCCAGACAGGATCATCTTCATCAATTAGGACAGTGCCCAACCAGGACAGCTCTCTCAGCATATCTCTGCCATCCAGCAGGCCCTTCCCAGCCATGAGCAGACTCTCTCAACAGTGCAGGCCTCTCTGCCTTCCACTTGCCAACCACTGACCCAGGAAGTCATTTGGGAGAATCATAAACTCATGAGATGTCAATCAGCTTAGGTCTTGTACAAAAGTGACATTTTTCTGCTGGCAGAGACTGCCTTCTTCCCTGGGCAAAAGTAACCTTGGGTAGAAAACAACCTGGAAAGTCCTCTAAGTTTCTCCAAAGAACTAGGTTAACTCCTCAAGGCTTAGGATGGAAACTCTCCCAAGATGTTTTTCCAAGAACCAAGGCAAAAGGCTACATAAAGGAATTTCACCATAGATCACCCTCTATAGCCTTCTGGTTAAGAGTTCTTTCGCATACATAACAATTGGAGGATTACTTCCCTCTTCTGATACATTTACCAGTCCAAATCAGTCACTGACAATTAGTCCTCTGGTGGAGAAAAAAAACCCTTTCTATTTGAGGTAACTTAAGCACCAGGCTCAGATCTGCTACAGGTGCTCATCTGATCTGGTGGTGGTGGTTCTATGCTGTGGAGTCTTTTCCAACTCCATAGTGACCGTGTATAGGGTTTCCAAGGCTGTAAATCTCTATGGGAGCAGAAAGCCTCATCTTTCTCCTGTGGAGCATCTAGTAGATTCAAACTGCTGAGCTGAACAGCCCAGCTCGTAATCCACTATACCACCAGGGATCCTTATCTGACCTGGTAAGTGTCTCTAAAAGATCATCCCAATTTCACTCTTTCTGGTGTTTAAAAAACTTTAAAAGAGAGAATATTATTCCCTTGCTCTGAGCTTTCCTTGAAGTATCAACTAGCAAAATGTTTAAATGACTTTCAGCCCAGTCACTATACTAGTCTAGTTGAGCACTTGCCTGTCCCTTAGTCCACTTTTTCACAATTACAGTTTCTATAATTATCTACAACCACAATTGCCTTGGTTTATCAATTATTACCCACAGTTGAATCATAGTCATATTAGCATCATCCCCTACCCTTTTTTCTCTAAACTCATCAGGAAAAGAGGAATGTGTTCAGTGGGGAACC